AGGGAGAGAAGTGTAAATTATTTATAAAGCACCTTTTACAAGTATTATTCATGTAGGAGCAGATAGCATCAATGCATAATGTTGCACCTAGTCCTATAGTGAGTGCTATTGTTGCACTATCAGTGTATTTAAAGTGTATTATTTTAAAGTTAAGGTGCTTTTACACTTCGTTTAATTTAGCCCACACCAAGGACAGAAAAGATCAAGTCATTTCTTTTAGTTCTGGACCATTTTTGTAAAAACAAATGAGGTCACTCCTTGGACAGTTTTGATGATGTCATCGTGCATCATAAGCACTACCTGGACCTGCAAGGAGACCATTAAATGCCAGTAACTGACTTTACTGAACCTTATATGTTTACATATCTTCTCTGGTGTCATAAAGAGCTCGCAGCTTTATCAGATGCGTTCAGGTACCCGTTCTATAGATGTGATGGCCTTCACGTAAATGTTCAATAGTGTTTCACAGACAGAAAACATTTTTGGCTTTGGTAGATCTGCAGCTGCACTCAGCTGAATCCATACAATGCATAGTGATACTGGATTCATATTTATGGAGGAGACCCAGCTGAAGTAAATCATACAACATCACCTTGTTTGTATCTTTAATCTTGGAGGCCAGGGACACAGAAAAGAGAACAATAATGATCTTCTCCATCACAGACATTCATCCACCGAAGGTAAAGATTAGCCTGACCCTGACCCACCACTGCGTTGTGTTTTTGTTGTCAGTTTTTCCGACTCTCATTTGCATTGTTAAGAATGTTAACTTTCTACCCCTCCTCTTTCATCATATCACAGTCCAATCCCGTGTCACCGGGAATCCCACAATGCCTTGCGAAGTGATTTTCTTGTGTCCTGCTGAAAATGAAACTAGGTGAACTTTGCACTGCACTGCCTTCAGTGGCTCTTCACCGTTTGGTTGTGTCTCCTTTTTATTTGTTTGGTTGAATTTACATTTGTACTACAACCGCTCGAAGTGACAGAAACTGGACATTTATCCAGCACTGTTATTTTCGCTGACATACTTTGACTTTTCAGCTGGATTGCTAGTTCTCTTAAAATCTCAGTTGCAACACTTGGGTGTCACTGTTTTCCGACTGACTCAGTTCAATGTGAAACCCTGAAGCATCCTGTGCAATCAACCTACTGTAGCTGGAGGGTTTCTGGCTATGGTGGCAGTAAATAAACTAAAGATCAGCATCACACTAATTTGTAATCTTAGTTATGTCCATTTCAGTTTTAAACACAGATTTAGTTCAACTGACAGTACTTTGACAGGTAGCTTAAATGAAAACACCCAGCCGGGCAAAAACATTAGAGTTCCTTTGATCTGCACCAGACAGGTTCAGTGTTAAGGCACCATTAGTTCAGGTATGGTTCAGTCATGGGCTTATGCCGATTTAAGATTAATAGGAAGTGAACACATTGATACTTAACCCAATCCTTAACCGACTTCCATTAGAATAATAAGCACTCATCTGAATAATCACCACTTTCAGTAACAAACACATCACCCTCTTCACTAAACCGCATCATTAGCTTGACAGAATGATCGAAATTACACATAAATAAGCTGCAGCGATTTCAAATTGAGTAATCTGAGTGGTTCCTCTGTGCGAACACAAACACAAACTATGATGACTGGAAAAAGGCGGGGTGCACCAGAAAATCTCTTCGTCTCTCTCTCTCTCTCTCGCTCTCTGGATGTTGTCCTGACAAACACATGGGTTCGTCTCCCTTTTCCCATAATAACTGGTCATGGGGAGCAGAGACTTCAAAAACAAACTACTCCGCCCCCGCCCGTGTCTTGTCGCCAGCTGCACCTCTCCTCGACAAAGAGTGGCAGCGTCCACCACAAGGAAATAAAACAGAAAACCTCCCAATTCTGCCTGTGCTAAGTCAAGAGAGCCCAATCCAATCAAACTGCAGATGGAAACTGAGTCAGTCCTGGCCTGTGTATTTCACTAGAAAGCCCGAGTCGATTTTATGCAAATGCAGGAGTGATGCGGTACAAGAAGCTGCACTTGACCTACATAGCTCTTCCACAATTCCTTCCCCAATACAGAGGAGGAGATCACAGGAAGCTGGAAGCAAGGGGACAGGCCTTATTAACCACCACCGCACAAGAATAAAGCAGTGCACTGTGGGTAGAGGAGGAAGAAAACAAAGCAGAGTGGTGCTTGTGGAGCGATAAAGATGAGCGCACAGAAGAAACCGTGCTGGATGCGGTCCAGCATTCAGCACTCACACAAGTCTTGAGAGTGCTCGGAAATCAGAACGTGCAGCAAGAGAGGGTGGACAGAGTGAAATACTTTTGGAAAATCTAAAGGAAGAGTTGATGATCTGCTTTGGTTCTCAAGTCCTGATGTGCATATGGAACATTCTTTTCTAGCCAACTTCCTCGTAAAAAAAAAAAAAAAAATGGTTTGGGTTTTAAGGAAAAAAGAGTGCTCAAAAAAAAAAAGACCAGACCAGAACGCTGAGCCGAGGCCATTCTCGGAGGCTGCTCTCACACACAAGCGGCACTGAACAGAAATTCCACACAAATTATACAGGCCAGGCCAAGCCTCGATGCTTTTGTAATTGCTTGCACAGCCCTGCCCAGAAAAGAAAAGAAGAAGAAAAAAAAACAAAACAAAACAAATGTGGGCCTTGATGATGACCAAGAAGAGCAGACAGACAACAAAAGGAGAAAGTGTTTGGTTTGTGAGCAACAAGGACAAAAGACAGGATGTGTTCATGTCTCATGGCCGCGCTCACTGCTCGTCTACATCGCACATGAGCACACAATAAAATCACAACCAGGTCACATGGACATGGAGTCTGCAGCATGAATATCCATCATTATACAGTCGTGATGTGCAGGGCGAGCATCGCTCCAACCCGCAGAAACTTTATTTTAAAATCTACACTCATTGAAATCCCACACTTTCCACTGATACTAAATATATGATGCTGAATAACAGCGAAATGTGGAGAAGACGCTGCACAAGACGCCAACCAACTCCCATTTAAAAGGATTTGGTGAAACATTTACGAATTTTGGCATCTTGGGTTTAAGTGTTTTATACAGCGCAGAAATTTAAGGGGGATATTGAGAATATTGGGATCATTAAATTTTCTGTTTCCTTTCTGCTGTGCATGTGCGTTAGAGAAGTGATAATGAATTTAATGGGTCTGTATAAATCTAGATGGCTGCAGAGTTTGCACTTGATAAAGTCATGAGCGGGCTGAGATTCTTGCCCTGGCTGTAAGGGGTAGTTGGATTTCCTTGGAGAGCAGAGGATTACAGCAGACCAGGTCAAGGAAACAGGAGTGCGGGCCAACGTCTGAGAGGCTGAGACACCGGCCTAGATTGAAGAGCTGCCAAGAGGCTGAAAATACTCAGCATTAAAAGCCGATGTGGTGCTTTGTAGATCAAAAAGAGAAGAGCTGTGATGTAACTGAATGCATCCTAAGACTATGCGTTTCCACTTTGGCAGAGTACGGTAGACTAGGAGGAAAGGTGGGGGATAACATGTGTCGCTGGTCCCGGGCTGGACTCAAACCCAGGATGTTGCGGTTACATGATCCACACCCTCAACCTCTAAAGCAGCTCCATGAAGTGTATTATGTAAGGTAAAAATTCAAGCCACCGGCTGCAATCGTTGGCTCCCCTCTTCATTACAGACACCACAGTGACATAAACAGCAACATGCTGAAAATAATGCTCAGCACAACCAGAGCTGATCCAGAGCAGAATCTGAAAACAGCCTCCAGCAGCACTCGCAAAATTAATTATAAACATTCTCTGATATTTAATTAATCCCTAATACAGATGAAACAGGAACGGTTTACAGCAAGACCTTCGCCAAGCACGCACCACATATCTGATTATGATTGCAAGATAACTGTGATGCCCAAAACACGCACTTTGCTATCATTTAATTATGATTGAGGACCAGGCCCGGGGATATCTCTGCTTTACACAAAAACACAGTTGAATTAAAAAACACTAAATGTGTCTGGGACGGGTTAGAGCTGGCCCGGATCCCTGAGCCAAATCCTTAGAACTGAATACAGCCTTGATGAGATTGTTCAGTCAATAGGCTTGGAGGGCCACCTAACCCAATAATGCGCTCTACAACAAATAACATTGTGGGACGGCAATCCACAGGGAAAGAGCGCTGCGTGTCGTTCCAAGTGGCTGTGTAAACGCACGCTTTTAATCCACTTAGGCGTCGAAGCCTGAGAGCAGGTCAAGTGACGGGATGTGGAGATTTATAGTAGCAAACGCACACACTCGCTCACACTGCAACACATGCAAATAACTGCCAGGATTAAACATAAGGTGGAAAGGCTGCTCGGGTCCTAAAGAAGCACAGGTGAGCGGAGTGCGCCGGCTTGGTTGGAGAACAGTGACAGATCCACACACAGATGAAAAGAAAACAAAAACACAGCATTTCCGGTGTGACGCTTCACTCACTACTAAATTTAGAACAGAGGGAACGTTAATGATCCCCCCGGGAAGATTTGGCACGTGTTCTGCATAAGATCGTAAGGACACAAGAATACAACAATACTTCCTGAGTGCTGCAGTGGTGACAGATTTCCTTTCGCTGAAGGATGATAATCTACGAATGGGGCCTGCGAATAATGATTATTTTCCATTATTGATTTATCCCTTGAATGTGTTTTTGATCAACTGATTAATCAGTTGGTCTTTCAAATGTCAGAAAATATTAAGAAATGCCCAGAGACAAAGGCAATGTCTTCATATTGTTTGAAAACCTAAAGACATTCGCTTAACAGAGATATAAACCAGAGAACAGCAGCAAATCCTCACATTTGAGAAGCTTTTTTTTTTTTTTTGCTTGATAATGACTTAAACAATTAATTTATGTTTGACTAATCAATTGATCTTTTCAGCACTGGTCTCTGTTTCTCTTACACGCTCAGAGAACAACTGTAAAACCTGTCAATGAAGCCACAAGGTCTGATTCAGTTTTTGCTCTCACCTTCTTGCCCGTGGAGCCCGTCTTAGAGAGGCAGGACTTTTCGAGGGACAGGTAACCACCGATGACCTCAATCTCCTCCACAGCAGGGTAACGCTTCTTCAGCAGGGAGCCCAGCTGAGCATAGGGGGCCTGCGGGGGTGTGGACCCCGGTGGCGCCTCAGTTGAGGCTTCTTGCTGGGGCTCAGGTGATCTTGGCTGGGCCTCGGTCTTCGGCGTACGTGTAGGCACCACAGTGAAGGTGTTCCCCTTCTTTCTCTGCACCATGGGACTGGGGACGGGGACACGCTGCGGGGGCTCCACCTCAATGTCGTCTATGTTTGTTACTGGCAGCTGATCCACGGGAGGTTGTTCTGGAGCTGGGGACGGGGTAGAGGGGACAGGAGATGGAGCTGGAGAGTCTGAGGGGACGGGAGATGGGGCAGGTGGAGAGAAAAGGGGTGAGGATGGGACAGCTGGAGAAGAGGGGGGTGAAGACAGGGCGGGTGGAGAGGAGGGAGCTGGGGTGAGAGCAGGAGATGGAGACAAAGGTTCTGAGGTTGGAGGAGGTGCAGGACTTGTGGCAGCAGAAGGAGGTGGTTCAGGCTTGGATGGCCTTACTACCCTCTCCACCTCCTTCTCTTCCTGCTCTTTCTCCTCCTTCCTCTTTGAGGGGGTCAGAGTGGGTGTAGGGCTGTGGGAAGTTGGCACTCCTGGCGTGGGCACCTCTGCCACTCTGTGGGAGGGAGGGGACTTGATGGGGCCAGATGGTGCTGGGCTGCTTGTTGCAGATGAGGCTGCTTGGGGGTGACGAGCGGGGATCACTGTGAAGGAGTTTCGGGACTGCAGGCGCAGGTTTGCGAGGGCCCGTGCCTGGGTGTCCCCATCAGGAATACGGTCTAGGTCTGGCTTTGGAGAGGGACGGATCTCAAAGTAAGGTGAGGAGCGGGCCACCTTGGATGAGATAGGGCTTGAGGGGGGCTCGGCACGGGCACTACGGGTCTCCGGAGAGCATGGCACCTTTGGTTTGGGTGGCACCTCGGTGCCCTCCCAGTCTCTCTCTGTGGTGGGCTTGGTTAACCCCCTGTCTGGCTCATCTCTAGGGGTGACAGACACGCCAAGGCCCCCACTCTCCTCAAACCGCTGGCGGAATGAAGACACAGACTGTGGGGACCCAGGAAGGCGCTGGGGGCTGCCTGGCTCAGAGACAGCAGGCTGTGGCTTTGGTTTGGAAGACCAGGGACTCTGGAAGACGGGCGACGATGGGTGGCTGCTGCCTGGGCTGCTGACCGATGGGCCTGGCCTGGGCTTTGGCACCAGATCTTGCTCTGGCTTGGGCCAGAGTCTTGGCCTGCTGCTGGCACTACAATCCAGGTCCAGCAGGTTCTCTGTGCTGTGGGACTTCTTCTGTAGCTTCCCATAGTTGCTGTCAAACTTCTGCAGCATCCGGCTAACCCTGCCTTGACCCTCACCTGTCTCATATGATGGGACCTCATGATCAGGGCGGCCCAGGGTGCTCAAGTTCTCCTCACTCTTGCTTAACGTGGTGTCATAAATTACAACTTCCTTGGCTCTTATCTCAGTAACAGCACTCCCTCTCCGGTCCAGGAGGTCGTTCAGAGAGCTGTAACTACTGACACCGTTTTGTTGCCATTTGGCCCCGGTTTTTACCCCTCCAGCTTCCGGAAAGTAATCTGGATCCGATTCAATTATGATAATATTCTCTGCACGGATAGTCCGTATACCGGGAACGCTGCCGTAAAGCTCCAGGATGTGCTGGACCGGACGAGCGGCGTTTTCTCGGTCCTGTCGCCTCCTCCGCTCCTTCTCCAGCTTGATGAACGGGTTCTCCTCCAGAGGGCCCAGGCTTTCCTGTAGCACTAGGCTCTCTTGTCTCTCGTCCTCCCTCGGTGTCGCCCTCTCCGCGGCCGCCGGTCGTGTCTCTTTGTTATTCGCAAAGTGCTGGCTGGCCGTGCTGATGGTGTAGTTCCGCCCGGACCCGCCGCTCGGTCCACTGTCTCTGTTGGGTCCGCCGCTGCTGCTGCTGCCGTTCACATTTCCCGTCATCTCACCGTTAACCCGCTGCGGGCCCGCGCCGCTGGGGCTTGTCTCAGCGGCACCGGCTCCCCCAGACCCGCCGCCCTTCGCCTTCCTCCTCTCCAGGATCTCTCGCTTCCAGGCCGGCATCCTCGGGCTCTCTTGTCCGGCCTCTTGGCGAAGGACGCGTACCTCTCCTCCGCCAGACATTGCAGAGGGTTGTTTGGGGGGGATGAAGAGGAATAGAGGCAAGCTCCGAGGCGGTCTTGCCGCGGTCCGGTGCGGCTATAAAACCTGTATCCGGCTCTGACTGTACCTGCGGCACCGATCACCGCACACTCACACACATCCCTAGCCTCTCTTTTTTCTGTCTCCTCTCACTCTGCTTTCTCATTTGCGCCCTCTCTCCCCACCGCCCCTGAACGCGGCCCCGCCCCTCCGCAGCTGCACGAGCGGCCTTGGCAGTCCCACCCGCTTCTTGATTGGTCGTTATGCCGTACAGACACGCCCATTCCCTTTCTGTAGACCGCTGCACATTGACGCAGGCCACTCCCGTTTCTATTGTTGACTGGGCAAGGACGGCCTGTCAATCAAAAGTGTGGCGTTCAGGTTCAGCCCGCCCCTCCAAATTTAGACTATATTTTAACGCCGTTAGTGGACGTACCTTATGTTACGATTAAATCTAGATTTGTTGTCGATATTGTTTGTACTGTTTGTACTCATACTGCTTAATCTAATGTTTCATCATAAGGATAACTACTTATGGACTCCCAATGTTGTTTCAAATTCATTTTTTTGTGGTATTTGTATAGTTTTCATTTGAAAACCGCAACGCAGTGTTACAGTATAAGGAAACAGCAACCCTAAACTGTTTCTGTTCGCCTGTGATGAGCAGGGCATGTCCACTGCTGGGTGGAGGCGGACGACTGTTCATTCAGTAGCCTATTTGCCGGTGATGCCACCTGTCGATAATCTGGCTGCAGTAAACACATGAGCTGAGGAGTAGCCTGCTGCACGTGAATCAGCACTTAGAGGGCTATTCTTGGGTACTACAAGAGATTACTGTACCTCATGAAACATTTATTACCAAGCCATAATTAAGAACAGCAAGGCTTAAGAGTGCAGAAGAGGTAAACAATGAAATGCATTTAATGAATGAATGAAATGTACTTTGTTTCCTTTTTAAACCTACTCCTAGGGTAGACACTTTAGGGGGAGGTTTATGATGATATATTAATATTATGACATTAATGTCTGTGTTATATTTTAGAATTTAACAGTTTTTGGTAAAATAAATAAAAACAAAAACCTACAGAATTTACATTGAATTTAATGTCCACCGCCAAAGTTGATGAATAAATAGAGTGACATTTTCTAATTTGTTTGGTTTGCAAACTGATTTTCAAATAGCCATGAGTGTAAAACACAAGCAAGAACCATTAACAATATAAAAGAAGAAGGAATGATTTAGGAACTGGTGGCTGCTGTACGGGATCCATGTAAGGGCTATGATACGCAAAACAAAAACGCTAGGATGGTCTCTTCCATTGTGGCTTCCCATTGCCATATAAAAAGCTAGGGCGCCTCCTTGTGGCCGAGGTGACCAAGCCCCAGCAGCAGGATATATAGCTCTACCTAGACCGTTTACCAGACTTATTGATAATATCACATTCATTAGACAACACTGGTAAAATGTTGATGGTTTATTTACATGTATATACAGATGACAATAAAGGTGCCATAACAAGAACATAAATAAGGTTCGGTGAATTTCTTTCCAAAATCAAAATATACATATTACACAGAATCTCACATCTGGAATTACCCTAAAATGAGGCACACATACATAATATAATACATAATACATGCGGTACATACGCAAGGTAAGGTCAAAAACATTACATTTTTTACAAATAAACAGCAATATTTAGGGAAGACATGTGCACACAATTGACTGCTAGTGATAATCACATTCAGTTCCTCTACATTGGAGTGAGACTGTGAGCTGACAACAAGTTTCAGAACCAGCGTCTTGTTGTCCAGACCGATCTCACCGGTGAAGCTGACATACCAGGCAATTTGGGGGTACAATGCATGAGTAACACTCCCATTAACAGGCAACAAAGTGACACAAAAGATAATAAATGTAATCAAATTTTGCTGGCAATCAATTGCTTCCTCTGGGAAAAAGCATCAATGCTGCTGATGCAGCTCCTTGGGTTACCTATCAAAGATCCCAAAAAATTGCCTAGGGTATTACTGCCTTGAGGTTTCACCAGTTTATTTTATCTTTATGTGTTGTGTGCACATGTGCATCAAAACATAACTCTAGTATAAATTTCCCTCAAGGCTCATTGTCTACTATCGACTGCACCATGGTAGCGGCACACATGGTCCAAATACAGATTTACTGCTCTGACATCTCCTCCAGTTGTTTGTATTTTTAAAAGTATCACAACAACTTACAGCCATAATCCCTAACCCTATCCTGATGAAAAAGAGGCTCAGAAAAATTGAGACAGTTTCAATTTACTTCCATTCAGAGTTCAAAATCAGTTAAAGCATCAATGTAGCAATAGGCAACATTAACTATATTTACACTTCATGGCCAAAAGTATGTGGTCATTCTATTATTCTTATATATAACTGTTCCTATTTCCAAACCATTAGGAAAACAGCTGCCAATTTTTTGGTTTCAGGCTTTCCACATAATTTCAGTGGCTGGCTGCAGGGATTTGATCCCATTCAGTCCCATGGCCATTAGTGAAGTTGGTCACTCATACTGAGTGATAAGGCCTGGCTTGCATTTAGTGTTTCCGTTTATCCCAAAGGTGTTAAGGTCAGTCCTGTTCTTCCACACTAGACTAGGAAAACCATTTCTTTATGGGCCTGGCTTTGTGCAAGGGGACATTGTAGAGTCAAACCAAACTGTTGCCACAAAGTTGGAAACACACTATTGTTGTTGGAACTATAGGGTGGAAATAAGGAAAAACAGCCCCAAGACCAAATGCACACAAACTGAATGTCCATATACTTTTGGCCATACAGTGCATTTTAGCATTTAGCAGCACATAAAATAGATTGTCCACTACTTCAAGGAAGCAGTGAAAATTTTTCTCAATTTTGATGCTATTAGAAAGAAATAATAAAAAACTGGAGTCTAGTGTGACCTGCCTGGAACATGTGTGTGAAAAAATGAAAAAAGGTGCCAGTGAGCCAAAAGAAAAATTACACCGTTGTTATGCTTTAAATCTCGAATGGCAGATGAAAACTGCTCTGTGATGTGAAAGCACAACTACTGACTGCCTCTTCTCAGGTGACACGGCAGGCTCGTATCATAAGCAGCTGCAGCAGGATGAACAGCGGCGAGACGATGAGGCCAAACCACAGGTCTCTGGCTTGTTCCTGCTCAGCCAGCTTCTGACACAGCAGCACCTCGCACACCAGCTTCAGGCTGAGCACCGTCAGCACCCAGAGGAGCCGCAGGACTGCCAGACGCTTCTCATTCTCTTGGTAAAGACGGATGGACACAATGGCCGTGAAGTAGGTGCTGAGGCCGTCTGCAGCAAACAGTGGGACGAAGACCAGCCACCAGCTCAGTGTGGGTGTGAACTTGTCAGCTCGCAGAGCGACCAGCATGCTGAAGACCAGCAAAGCTAAAAGGTGGAGGAACAGTTCAAAGGTGGCAAAGCCCAGCCACTGGACCAGTTCCCTCAGGGAGAACAGCATAGCTGAGCACAGTGGGGTCTTCAACCAGGGACGGACTGACTGAGAATGACCAGGTCACAGACTAGGCAGCCCTTCTTAGGGGTCAAAGTGCTCCAGGATAGCAGAGGGTGGCCGTGAGGTGTCACTGATAATGCCTGGGCAAAATTGGTGAAGTACCACAGAGATGACCCTCTTGGCTACATCTTCAAATCCACCCTGAGTAGGTTGATTGGTGTTGGTGAATGCAGGAAGTGCTCCAAGTCTGAGTCTCTCTGGAAACCCTTCCTTCCTAAAATTTAACAAAGAAAAAATAACATTAGAAAAAGCGGGTACATTGTGCCACATCTGACAGAACTAGAAAAAAAAAAGCAAAACTAGCGTCAGGTATACACCCACACACTGTCTGTAACTCAGAGTGGACCAGGCCCAAATCACGTCTCACTGAATCAGGAAACAGCTTGTGAAAACAACTGTCTTTTTCCATCACTTCACCCCAGTGTCAGTTCAATATTTAGCCTGATTCAACTCACTTAGATACCGGCTGATATTCGTAGACTGAATTTAAATTGACACACGGTTTATCATCAACGTTACATGTCAAGACGAACTACAGTTCACGATGATGATACAGCCTGTAGCCGATCCTACCACTACAATGTAAGCTAACCACAGTCACAGATGATGCAGAGCCCCTAATTACAAAACAGCACATGTATACGCATATATCAAAATGTATTTAAGATGTATTTTACTGAGACAACGCGTTATTTCACCTTAACAACAGTCGGGTGTTTTCTCCTCCATCTAGCTGGACGCCAAACTGTCAGTATACAAAGCTAACAAACCGTTAGCATCGTAGCTTCGGCTTTTTTTCTTGGGCTGAGGAATGATCGCGAGAACACTAAACCTGGCTTGTACGGTGGCCCGAAAGACTATATATTTTGGCAAATCTTTTGTAAAATAATTGTAAACCCGTTTAGTGTTCCAATGGTACTTGCTGTATTAACAATAAACACAGTAATATATATATGTATCATAATAATAATAATAATAATAATAATTTCCATTTGGTTTTGTTATATGCTTCAGGCTTAATGAAAACCCTAGAGACTCCAGTCAGTAGGTGGCGGTAACGCGCTGCCATGTCTCCCGCGAAACGTCGATTAAAAAAGACATACTTGGATTTGACTGTGTGGAGTGAAGTGTAGAGAAGTCGCCGACTCATACACACAGGTAAGTACACTGTCTTCCTTTGGTATTTTTTGCAGTTTTCATACATGTCTTGTGAGTGTAATGTCGCAGATTTAAGACAATAGTTGCAGTGAGTTGTAGTTTTAAAAAGAAGCGTTAATTACATATCCTAGTTAAGAGCCAAGGTTACAAAATGAAATGTAGCCTACTAAAAAAAACATACATGTGATTGTTGAATGAAATTACAGCGGTCATTAGTAGTGTGTTTGAACATATGTCGTATTTCTCCGTGTAACCGAAGTGGCTTGTCATCTTAAAGTTGCAGTTTGTCATTAATTTGTGGTTCATATCAGTGGATTTAACATGATTGCAGCGAGGATCATTTTAACATTGCAGATCCATATATCACAATCTGATGTGATGTTGTACATGACTTAATATTGTCTCCCACATTAGTGTCTATGTGTTTTTAACTGTGACTAAAGTGACTGCTGATGAGAATAATTTCAGTCAAGCTAAGATGATTGTTCCAGTGCATCCAAAGGCAACAACGATATGACAAATGTGTTAACAATCACCTATGAGATAATCAAGCTGTTTTCCACAGTTGTTCTTTATATGAGACCAAACTTTTAATATGTGTTGTTTGTTTGGACATAAAATGATAAAAACCATCTTACCACAATCGGATTTTGTACTTAGTCAGTTAATGATAATATTAATTTAAAGCACAGATTAATGGTCCCTTATCAAAAATGTATTCATAAATCAAGAAAATGATCTCTGTCCTGCTGTGGAAAAAATGTGGAGGAGTGGGATGTCAAGGTCAGAAAAGGCTTGTGCATGGAGAAAAAAATGTTCACACAGTATTAAGATAAAAAGTTCTTGTTTGAAATAAGTTTAAAAACCTGCAGCCTGCGTGACTGTACAATGGGACAGAGCCAAGGTGTTGTTTGGCGAAGCAGTGTCACGCATGCTTGGTCAGTTTTAACGGTGACTGAACTGCAATAAAGCACCAGGGCGTGGGAGTGATGTTTTTGCTCTGCTCATTAACTACAAGTCAAAGACAAGACAAAGACAGAAAAGAAGCTGCTCCCTGTTCCCTGTGTTACTTTATGTGTTTTATCACTGATCATCTCTCTGCTTCAGGGTTAAGATGCAGACACCAGCGGAGTCGATCATCCACAGTGGCTATTTCCACCCGACGCTCAGATACTGGCAGACCTGTGTTGCAGATTTAAGACCTGACAATCTCATCTACCCAATCTTCATCACGTAAATGAAACTTCTTGGTTTCCTACAAGTGAATCCAAGTTATGGTCACATAACATGGCAAATAAAACAAGTGTGCAGGAGTTTGACCGATGTAATGGTGGCCAGATGAAGTCAACTAAACTATGCTTTTTAACTTTTATACTTTAGTGGACTTCCACCTTCTCACCTCTGGTTCTTTGTCACTCTCTCCTTTAGAGACAGTGCAGATGCAGTGGAGCCCATCGGCAGCCTGCCAGGACAGGCCAGGTGAGAGTGAAATCCACAAATACTTTCATAGCCATCTCATGATTCAGATCTTCACTATAACAAAGTGCCTGATTTTCTGAGCTACTTGAAGAACCTGTTTCTGCTCAGAAGGACAATTTGAAATAATTGGACTGTTTTGACTGGGGTGATTGAAGCATTCATTTAAACACCAATCACATGAAGCACACAGTGTCACCCTGCAGCTGTGACCCCACTGAGGGTGTTGTCCTCAGATAAAAGCAGTCAGGCAGGGTGGACCCAGAGCCAAACACTGGACCTGGACCAAGATAAGAAGAGAATCCGTTAGGCTTTTATCCAGCACAAAACAAAACCAAACTGCGAACCCACCTTCACATTTTGTGTGCTTCTGCGTCACAAGACACAAGCCTTTTTAGTTTTCTCCTCATATAAAACTAAAGAAGGATGATCATTTTCACTGTTTCCTTTCCTGAAAGGCCCTTTTTTGCTTCCTTCCATTCATATTATACGTATTGTCATTAATAGATATGGTGTGAATAAGCTGGAAGGAATGCTGCGGCCACTTGTGGAGAACGGCTTGAAATGCGTGCTGATTTTTGGTGTTCCGGCAAAAGTAGAAAAGGTATGTTAAAGAGATGAAAAAGTCACGTTAATCACTCTAAAATGAGCATTAAAGTTTGTGTCTTGTTTTCTCTGCCTGGTCGTATAAATTTTTTTAGAATTAGTTAGATAAAACATCAGTGAGACTGAGTGTTTGTAGTCTTTAACTTTTTCTTATTACCGCATTTCTCTAGTAAATTGGTAGATATGGTTTCTAATTGACTAGTCCCTGTAAATTTAACTCACAGCAAAGGTATAAGTCTTGTATAACAGATTATAAAGAGACTACCTGGCCAAAAGTAGACTTTTGGTCTGGGTCTGTTTTTCATGGTTTTTGCTTGGTAAAGTGTAAAAGAACTTGACTGGCCACCACAGAGCCCTGATGTAAACCTCATCCAACGCCTTTGGGATGAGCTGGAACATTGACCGTGAATCAGGCCTTATCACCCAACCTCAGTTTGGACTTCACTAATGCTGTTGTGTCTGAATGGGAGCAAATCCCTGCAGCCAGGTTCTAAAATCCCATGGGAAGTCTGAAACCAGAAGAGGAGGCTGTTATAACAGCAGATTAACTCCCATGGTTTAGAAATGACATGTTCTGAGAGGCAGCAAAACAGTGTATCACACTCAAACAAAAAACACTGTTATCTGGTCTTTCCTCGATAGGATGACAGGGGTTCAGGTGCCGACACAGACGACACACCGGCCGTCCTGGCAGTGAAGAAAATCAGATCTTTGTTCCCAGAGCTGCTGGTGGCGTGCGACGTCTGCTTGTGTCCCTACACGTCACATGGCCACTGTGGTCAGTGTCTCCTCAGATGATTTATCTCCTGTTTATGTCTCATAAAGAGCAAAGTAAAAAGGGCAGAGATAATGTGCATCATATATTTGGGTTTTGTTTCTCCTTTTGTCTTGCAGGTATCCTGAATGACGACGGTACTCTGAACAATGACGCCAGCTGCCTGCGCTTGGCAGAAGTGGCGCTGGCTTATGCCCGGGCTGGTAATTCTTGTTTCTTGCTTTGTTAAGATTGTTTCTGTCTTTGGAGTGAGACATACAAGGATTTTTTTTTTTTATTGAGTGTTTTTATCAAGTATTTTCTGTAACCCATATCGGTTTATACAGAAGCTGGTTTGCATTTTGTCTCAGAATTTGTAATTGTGTTTATAGTTTGAACTGAGTGAGACCTCACGTAGCCAGAGCTCCTGCTTCTTCTGTGTTCTGGGAGTTTGGAGGTTTCTTTCATTTATCTTTTAGGCTAGTTGCTGTATTTTTATTCTTCTTTTTTTGAGTTGACTACTTATGACCAACTAAAAACATATATAAGGATTATGTTTCTCATACCAGAATACTGCCATGTAATGAAAGCTTTGAGCCAACATCTAGACCATATTGAAAAATAAGATTCACAGAAGATATAGTCGTATAACAATTATTTATATAACGGTAAATAAAGAATAAATATTTTTGGTACCTGCTTAAAGTTTTATGGAGGGATGGGTATTGGGGGACATGGGCTCATGACCTCAGGATATGTAAAATCCTGGCAGCGGTCCTACACTCAGCAGTAATGTCAGTTCCACATTTACACAGATACTGACGGTAAAGTTAAACTGGACTAATACAAGTTTCATGTCCTCTGTTCTACAGGCTGTCACATCATCGCCCCCTCTGATATGATGGATGGAAGAGTCAGAGCTATAAAACAAGCACTGATATCAAATGGTTTGGGAAACAAGGTAAACGACTGAAAATAATACAGAAATGATTCTTATTGTACTTTCATATTATCAACAAATCCCATGAAAATCCATTATTCCATCTCTCTCTCTCTCTCTCTCTCTCTCTCTCTCTCTCTCTCTCTCTCTCTCTCTCTCTCTCGGTGGCATCCAGCCCCAAACCCACTAGTTTCCTACTGATGACAGAAATCTTAAAAAACAGTTCACAAATATGTAGTTTCATCTTTTTTAAAAAAGCTGAGTGATTTTCTGAAACAGCTGGGCCTGTAGTTTTTTTTTTTTTTTAAACAAATGTTACTCAAACAAAAGGAAATGTTGCATTGGTTGGGCACTATTTTCAGCTGCGGATTAATCCACATTTGATGCTTTAGTGAGTACATTTGGCAGCAGGATGGTGTATGTCTAAGCAAGTCAAACTACAGCGTGTGTGTTCATGGTAATAAAGGAACATGTCACCCAGAGCAACAGTGTGGCTCACTTTTGTTTTTTTTGGAAACAAGAGAGCTCTCTGGCTTAGAGGAATAAGATATACCAGACTTTGAATACACAGAGGAAACTTGTTAGTAGAATCGGTATTCATTGTTGGTCTTTTCATGTGACAGTAAGAAAAAGTATATTTGAATGCTTATTATAAAGCATGTAAATATAACAGAATGTGTTTTTATAGTTGTTTCTCATTTTTTGTGATCTCCTCCAGGCTTCAGTGCTGAGCTACAGTGCAAAGTTTGCCTCTTGTTATTATGGTCCTTTCCGGTAAGTGAGCGCTCTTGGATCAGGTGTAAACAGATCAGTGAGTTAGTACGTTGAAGTGAGAGTAGACTGAAGCTCCCTGCTGTGTTTTTTTCTATACAGAGATGCTGCACAGTCTAAACCTGCGTTTGGAGACAGACGCTGCTATCAGCTGCCTCCTGGAGCGAGAGGACTTGCCGTTCGCGCTGTGGTTAGTTGTGTGTGTGTACACTTGACTTGGTTAAAAGTGTTGCGTTGACACAGTTGTGGGAGATGTTGCTGTTGTTCTGTGCTGCAGGAACGAGATGTGAGAGAGGGAGCTGATATGCTGATGGTGAAACCAGGTCTGCCGTATCTGGACATCGTGAGAGAAGTCAAGGACAAGGTCTGTAACTTAATCAGTTCAATGAGGAACAATGTTGCAGCTTTGCATTTTGGAAACATGCTCAGTTGCTATGAAACACAGATGAGAAAAATCCCAGAAGCAAACCCTGCAAAATGTCACATGCGAATATCACTGTACCTGTTGGAGGAAGTGTGTCAGTTTTTCTTCATGTGTCTCCCTTCAGTTCCCCACTCACCCCTTGGCTGTGTACAACGTGTCAGGGGAGTTTGCCATGATGTGGCACGGAGCGCAGGCTGGAGCGTTTGACCTGCGGGCTGCTGTGATGGAGGCCATGACCGCCTTCCGCAGGGCAGGTAAGGGGGCGGGGGCAGGGCACTCGGATCTCCTGAACATAGACTGTGTCAACAAATGCGTCCTTTTCTCTCCGGTTTGGCCCTCCCTCCACACTGAGTTGGTGTCAATCACATTCAAAAACTGAGAGTGGAGAATCACTGTGATTGTTGCTCTATTACAGTGAATGAAGCAATATAAACAGGTGACTGCACTGTAGGAGTCTCCTGTCCTGTTCAGTAATGAGCTCTACACCATCAGTCTACATCAGAAGATCAATGAAAGACTGTAAAAACGGTTATTCTGTTGTGTATATAATTCAAGCATGATATGGCCTGATGCTTGATACATCTAAAATGAAATCTCACACTATTATCCAGATTGACACTATAAAATCAAAAACCTATGGGACTGTGATTAACTGCATTAACCCCTCAAGTAAAACCAGTTGACTGTACTCATGCTTTGATTTACACCACATTCATACGGTTGTTTTAAGTAAGTAATGAAAATGTGGTTAGTTTTTCTTCTTCATTTAAAATGTTCAAGCACATTAAAATGCATATTACAAGTTCAGTTCTAGATGTGATCTGACTCATTTTCCCCTGCCCTGTGATGCAGGTGCTGACATCATCATCACCTACTACACACCTCAGCTGCTCACCTGGCTGAAGGAGTAAAGAACAAAGACCTGAAGCCAAAGGATGAATGGACCTAGAAACGGACCAACAGACAACTACAAACCTGCTGGAGACTCAGTCATGCTAACAAATAGCACTATAGAAAATGAAAACAAGTAATCTGTTCAATTTTAGGCCTTTATGTTACTCTCTCTGTTCAGTTTTGTGCTAACAATTCAAATGGCTGGCTGCATTTTTCTCGGTGTATGGGTTGGTTTGCTGAAGTGATTATGTTTGTAAAGAAAGAAATCGAGCTTAAGCCTTAAGCTCTATTTCCTTTTAAGCTTTTGAAGGGCTACTAATGATCTGAATCTCTGAAGTCAGTTATCTCTCTTAGCAATTTGATTATGGAATGTATTTTTTTAATGAATCTGGGCCTCACACATGTCTGATTATATATGTGACAACTGTCTCAGCCAAAGCACTGTCATCCTGTAACAAGCTCGTATTCTCTGGGGAAAATAAAATCATTCAGCTACAAGTGTGTTATTTAAATTTGATGCATGTTGCTTAAGGCCTGTGAATGCTGCAGAACAAATGTCACAACTTAACCAACACTAAAAACATTCAACACGTCTTATATGTGTACACAAAGTACAGATAAAAAGTCAACCATAAGTACAAAGTAACTGTATTAAATGTGCTTAAATGCATCTCAAAATAAAACGGTCGACTGTAGTGTAGTCAAGTAAATGTTAAAGCTGCCCTGTGGAGTTTTTGACCACTATTAGCTTTAACGTTTTTATGAGTGGGTCACCTGGTCACCTGTGTCCTCCTGCCATTGATTACTGGTACTGCACTGACTACAGGTGGTAGTCAGGCCAAGTTATGCAGCAGTGCACCAGAAAAAGCAGCGAAGAAGGAGACTTCTACCAAAAAAACATTGAATTAAATAATACAGGTTTCAGGGCCTGTAAATGAGATTTTATCATAGTAATAATTTTATAACAGCAAACAACTTTTTTTTTAAATGTAAAGATATAGTGGAGTAATCTGTGTCTCACTGTTTTTTGTTTTGGTAGCTGGTCAGGTAGCACGTGCGTTTTAATGCATGTGAGTCCCTCCTGTTAAACTATTGGTCCTCCCCATATTTATGAACACACAGGCCTCGCCCACAGGTGAGATGAGACTGCAGTATGCAGCATTCAGGTGAAAGTGATCTTCCAGAATTTCCTCTACTGAAGGAGAAACCACTATGTCTTCTACAAAGAAAGAGAAGATGAGGACCATGAGGACTACCGGCTCAAATACTGGTCAGCCAGTGGACCGTCAAAACATCCAAAAAGTTTTTACTTGCTCTGTCAGAGTCGTTTGTAGGGCCGCGATCCCAGCACATAAGTTCAAGGCTGAATTTAGACCTACGAGCTGCTAAAGAGCTCCAGCTTGACTTGGACCTGGCTTTTCTTCTCCATGTGTAAGTAAATTGAATGCTACATAATTTTTCATGTCTGTTTTCATTAGTAATCGGCTACATAGCATGATAACGGTGGCTAACTTGCTCTTACCATTGTTTTGAATTTGTTCGGGAAATGTTGCTATCGCTAGCTGGCTAACTGTTAGCATCGCCATGGGGCATGCTAGCGTGGGCCGGGTTCGTGGTCATATTGTATGTTGTTGGCTCTCGTGTACACGGGGTGACTTTATTCAGTTGCGTTTTTTCTTCTGTGTTTACTGGCCGCTTTCACGGGGCTTCATAACACCTGGCTGACTGGGAACGTGAAGAGAGGCAGGGGGGGTTGTGGCCGAATGGAGGCCGGAGTTTTGGCCGATGAAGCATTTGTTTTGGTTTGAGATGCTGATGGTCTGGTGCGACATCTAGTGGCAGGACAATCGTAAGGAAAAATGTTAATATCTACTACTTTTGTTTGACCCCAAGAATACACACACGTGCATGTTGATGAGTAACAATGGATGTAAACACTTTGTTTTCTTTGTATTGAACCACTTTGGTTCAGACTGAATTAACTTAACCACATTGGATGCAGTGCCATGAAATGTTGTTCATATAATAATGATCCCCAGAGGATGAATCCTCTTGACTTTGGCAATCCTCTGACTTTTCATCTGGCACCACCAGCTGGATAAGTTTTCACTTATCCAGTGAAATATCTCAGCATCTATGTAATCATTGCTGTCCTAGTCTGTGCTCATTTTTGTCAATGTTACCTTAACATTACAAGAAAAACATTGCACTAAAACTAACTTACAAAATGTAACCTAATCTTACAAAGTGTAAACTGTGGGTTAGGTCACTCAGAAAATCAGGTATCTGTCATAAAACTGTTGGTAAGTAATTATTTTAAATAAATGAGCCTGTTTCACATATTAACATGTCACAGTAGGAAAAGATCTGGTGTAAATAATAAAATGAATGTTGAATGATTTCCTCTAAACTGTTCTGGTGTCAGTGTCCTGGTTGTATGTATGTTGGCTCACTGACATTATCATGGGATATTTGAATAGAACAGGAATAGGCTATAAATTCCACTCTCATTTTTATTCTCTTTAACTGAGTCATCAGCTCGGCAGCTGGAACCAGGAAACTTTGGGCTTTGCACAGAAACATAATAAACCTAACACAGATTTCAGCTGACTGCCAGACTGATGCTGGAGACTTGTTGGCAGGTTCTAATGAGTAGAGATCAACTGTAACATTCTTCAAGTGAATCAGACCCCTGAGCCATAATCCAAGGCAGGGGGTGCATTTCAGTTACTGTAATTCATATGCTGCCATGCATACCAATCAGATTAATCAGTCAATCCACGACGCCATCAACAGGCAGCTGCCTATTTACTGCAGCAGTTGCATTTAAAGTCTGATTTACAAAAAACTGTTATAATCCTTTAAAATCCAACCTGTTAATACAAGGCAAAACTATCTACAGTAATATTAAAACACAACCCCTTAAAAGCTGTATGTGCTTGGATCCCTAAAACAATGCTCAACTGCTCAGGCCATGACCCTGTAAAACCTCCATGGGTGATAAATGACAGCCAGGGGGCGACTCACGCCCGTTTCAGAGGATTTATTCATACACTGCAAAAAATGTCACATATTTCAACAAGTCATTCGTTCTCTTAGTTTGCTTTACTGTCTGTTTTTTTATATAAAACATTAACAACTTTGTGTTCTTCGTGTTTGTGGTGCAGTTTAATGTTTTAGTGTCTTATCTATAAACACAAATGTCAGTCAGAATAGGTCTCATTTTGAAAGGAGACGGGATGAAGCAGGTCTTTGAGGGAAGGTTGCAGAAAATCTGAACTATTGTGACCCGCACTGACATCTCCTGAACTCACTAAAAACATTTTATCAATTAACTAAAGAAAAATAATTCTCTGGGACTCGCTTTTAATTTATTGACACTGGAGGCAGCGCGCACTTCTTGCAGTGTGTGACGTGCGGGGGCAGAGCAGAGGGCTGCTCTGATTTAAGTTGCAGTCATCTGGATGGATGTTATCACACTCAGAGAGACCATTAGCGTGAGGACCGGTCGGCGCTGGAGACTCGCTTTTGGAAGTACAACAACTTCATTTAACGTGGATATACGCAGCGCAAACGCATGGCACCGCCGGGCTGGCACTACGTGATGATGCATTTATCGACTTTGTTTTAGTTTTGAGAGAGAGTGAGGAGATAGAGAGTGAGGGAGACGGATACTTATGGTTTGGTGTAAGGGTGCCTCAGCCGGCCGTGTCTCCTCTCCAAACGGTGCGCTCTCCGTGGCCGTACTTGCTCTCCGGGACTTCCACGCGGCTGGGACGCGACATGGGATGCAGAAGCGCGCTGGGATGCTGCCTGCTCGCGGCGTTGTCCTGCTGCCTCTTCCCCGGCTGCAGAGGTAACATCACCGTGGCTGTGATGCTCCCGGACAACCATCACAAGTACCCGTGGGCTCTGCCGCGAGTGTTCCCGGCCATCCTCATGGCGCACGAGGACCTGCACGGGAAACACGGGCTGCTGCTCGGCCGGTCCATCAACATCCTCAACTACAGCACCGAGGACCCCATCGCGGGCTCGTGCGCTGAGAGCCGGGCGCAGGTGGTGGCCGTGGACGCCAAGCTTTACATCCACCCTGACGCTTTCTTCGGACCCGGGTGCGTGTACCCGCTCGCCTCCGTGGGGCGATTCGCGTCCCACTGGAAACTCCCGCTGATCACAGCCGGAGGTCCCGCGTACGGCTTTGACAAGCGGGAGGAGTACAGGACCATCGTGCGCAGCGGGCCATCCACCACCAAGCTGGGGGACTTTGCCACCGTCCTGCACACGTATTTCAACTGGACTTCCCGGGCCGTGGTGATCTTCCACGACCTGCGGCAGGACGACCGGCCGCACTACTTCCTCTCGGAGGGGATCTACCTGAACCTGAAGGAGGAGATGAACATCACGGTGGAGGCCCAGCCGTACGAGGACGACTTCAAGTACTACAAGGATCACATCAGTTTTATGAAGGAGCACGGGAGAAGTAAGTCCATGCTGCAGGAAAGATGTGTGATTTAAAAGTTTGGGAATAACACCTGAAACGAGATTTCACAACTTAGTCAGGCCCGTGGTGCTAAAACAAAAAGCCAACATTCAATGAAGAAATCTTTTAGTTTTCTACTTAAGCTGTTTTTGCCACTTGTCTTTGGGGCATGTGACATTATCTCAAAATAAAGCATCTGGCTAATGTCAGTGGATGGAGAAGGAAATTCCCTCTCACTGAATGAGCTCCATGGGAAACAGTTGAGTGAAATTGTCTCACGCCAGTCGCCACTCTCACGATTTATAGCCTATCTCTTATTTGAGGGAAAAATATGAAATGACTTGAGGGCAATCAATCTGTGCCTTAAGCTTCAAGGGATGAGCAATATTTAACAACTATGTATTTAATCAGGAACATTCATTTGACGTGTTTTACACAATGCTGCAACGGGAGATCCCGGGTTCACAGAATGAGGTCAGAGTGAAGTTTTTTTCTTTTTTCCCCAGCAGATTCAAACTAAGGTGGACTGAAATAGGTGCAGGGAAAAGCCTGTTTAATCCGGAGTTATTACAGAGGAATGTTTAGGCTGTGGGTAGTCTGCTGCTGCTGGTTTATTGCCTGCGGAGGACCACCACCTGCGTTTTTTAAAGAGCGAGCGAGAGGGGGGGGGGGGGGGGGGGGTCGTGATCAAATGGGTGCCCTCTAGAACAGGCTTTGTATGTGTGGTTGACTGCGTGCGTTCCTGCTGCTGCTGCTGTTCAACATCCAGAAGGGGTTTATTCGATCATTCTGGTCAGTCTTTACAAAGTCATGCTGTGAAGCCAAACTTTATTCAAACCCACAGAAGTTTGTTTTAAATCCTAGTGCAGAAGTTTCCAAAGATATCAAATATGTCATGTATTTTGGGGGAATGTGAGCAACATTTCCATCTGATGGAGTGATGGAGACATAAACATGGAGTTTTGGGTTTGAATGTTTCACTCAGTGGAAACATATAGTTTGAGTGAAGAGCTGGCGC